CACACACACACACACACACACACACACACACACACACACACACACACACAGGGGGGAAAAAATGAGGAGAAAACTTGAATTTCACAGATAATGTCCAGATTACTGTGTCCTTCTCTGTGGAGAGTCTTCAGAGAATACCTCAGTGACCTTTGACCTTTTCTCCATAGCTTTATTTTCATTTAAAAAACAAATTACTGGGTGAAATAACATACTGGATGACTTCTGACCTTTTTGCTTGTGCTACCCTCAGCGGCTGCATTCTTTTTGACAGTGAGTTAGACATGCAGGCTTTTATCACAGATAGAAACATAGAAAGAATCTGTTGAAGTCACACAGTTCAATGGTTAAATGGGTGTCGTGGACCAATGGGGTAAGGACTGTACTGGCTAGAGGAGACAATAAATCCCATGACTGTGTGTAGTGCTTGGTAGCTTAAGCTAGGACATTATAGCACAATTTATTAGTAGATTATATGAAACTTAATATGATGTGCAAAATAATAAAAATAAACGTCGTGGACTTACACCCTGTGGTTCCTGTTTGGACTCATCCTTGGGTGCTACAGGTATCACAGTGACAGGAAGGGGCAGCAATGGCTGTCAGCCTGCAGCAAAACCGAGTAGAAATCTGAAAGATGTAAAGGTCATGGAGTAAACAAACAGTTTCTGTGCGCACAGGCAGTTTGTGTTTTAGCTGTGAGTGAAAAGAGAGCGCTTCAAACCACACTGGAAAAGGTAGCATGACAAATGACTCTTACAGGCTTTTAAACACATGTGGTTTGTAACACACTTCTGGTGTCAGCTCTTGCATGTCCATCAGAGGAAACATGCTTCAGCTCCACCAACAGCTATACATGTGATAACTTCACCATGCTCACATATTATATGTGTTATTTGCACATGCTACTAAAAACAATGTGCATTTTACTGTTCTCTTGGATCTATTTTTAATCACAAATGTGGGAGAATTACTCACAGTTTTGAGCTCTCCTCCACAAGTGTTGTCTTGCAACTAGTTTCAAACACATTGCCAGCAGTTGCCCCATCCATCCATCCATCCATCCATCCATCCATCCATCCATCCATCCAGCTGGAGGAAATGGCCAGGGTGAGGAAGTTCCTCCTGAATGACTCAACTTCTCACCCAACCTCTACAGCTAAACACAGCTACCCTTCAGAGAAAACTCATTTCTGTTATTTCAGTCATTATTCAGAGCTTGTGAGCAAAGGTCAGGGCAGAGACATCGATTGACCGGTGAATCGTCAGCTTCGCTTTTACACAGAGCTCATTCCACCCATGGATTGAGGTGATCCCTGCTACTGTATATCGAGCCAGTATCTCTCAACCTCACCAGACTCCACCAGGGAGGTGAAGTTCAGTGTCCTAGTAGCCAGCCTTAGCACCCTGGAATCAGACTTACTCTGCCCCTCATCTGTTTCACATGCTCACCTCATCGGTCTCTTTTATGTGAAAATATCAACAGGATCCAACTGATAGAAACACCTATAGTAGCCAAACATCTTCCCCCATATACTTTTTTTCAATTGTTGTTGTTCTGGAGCAACCTTCACACATCCATCTTTTATATGAGCAGCCAGTGGAGGGCGCTGCCCACCCTCTGCCTCCTCCTTTAAGCCTGCAGCTCTGTGCTGCTCCCCTGGAATGTGGGTGAGCTCATCTCTCCACCCTGATGTGACACTATCAGCAGATACCATCTACCTGCTGAGAGGTAGATCATTGCAAGGAACACATTGCATGTATTTATCAGTGAGTCTGAAACCAGGAATAATTACATACCTGCTTATGTTAGTTTAAATCATTTATTGAAATCATAAATACAAAGTATTTTAAAACGTATGCTGCTCAAACACTAAGACATACCAGATCACAGTAATGCTAATCACAGATGCTGGTGGCTACTGCAGACTTGATGTTTTATGGGGAACCTTGAATGGACAGATGAGGCCTTTCTAACAGTTTTTGGAATGTTTTCCGACTAAAGTTGACTCCAGAAAAACTTAACAGGTGGCTTCCAAGGAGAATACATAGCTACTGGCTACGTTTACTTTTTGATCTCATAGATCGATATTTAAATTCCACATTTGTTCAATGATTCATTTTAATATCTGAATAGATGAAATGATCAGTACATCAACTTGCTTGGGTAAATAAGTCGGGTTCCCACTGTGACTGAATGTAAAAGCAGCACAAGAGCTGCTAAACGTATAAGTCACCAGTGATTCCCTAGACCAATAAAACTTCATGCTAACATGGTGTCTTGGACAGGTCTCTCCCTGCCGCCCACACTGTTCAAACACTACTACACACATTTACTTTGAAGTGCTCTTTGAAGCTAAAATGGAGATGTGAGATCTGATGTGTGAAGCAATCCTCAAACCACCAGCTGCCCAGCTCACACATGCAGGTGGAGTCTCTTTCTGCCCCCC